GGAGAGGGGACGCGGCGGGATGGAACTGTGGGGAGAGGGGAGGCGAATGGGGGGAGCAACGCAGGTCTCCGGGGTGCAAGGGGACACAAGTGGGGACACAGCAGGATGTCATCTGGATGCAAGGGGACACAAGTGGGGACACGACGGGGGGCACAGCAGGATGTCATCTGGATGCAAGGGGACACAAGTGGGTGGCACAACAGGATGACACCTGGGGTGCAAGGGGACACAACTGGGGAGACAAAAGGATGACACCTGGGATGCAAGGGGACACAAGTGGGGACACAAGTGGGGACACAAGTGGGGACACAAGAGGATGACATCTGGGGTGCAAGGGGACACAAATGGGGACACAACTGGGTGGCACAACGGGATGACAACTGGGGTGCAAGGGGGCACAAGTGGTGGCACAGCAGGATGTCATCTGAATGCAAGGGGACACAAATGGGGACACAACAGGTGGCACAACAGGATGACACCTGGGGGGGCAAGGGGACACAAATGGGGACACAACCAAACAATACTTGGGGTGCAAGGGATACAACTGGGGGACAGAATCGGAGAGCATGTGGGGTGCAAGGGGACAGTTGGGGGATGCAACAGGTGACACAACAGGATGTCACCTGGGGTGCAAGGAGACGCAACCGGGGACACAACAGGATGTCACCTGGGGTACAAGGAGACACAAGTGGGGACACAAGTGGGGACACAAGTGGGGACACAAGTGGACAACACTTGGTGTGCAAGGGGACACAACCAGGAAACAACAGGATGATACCAGGGATGCAACCGGAGACACAATGGGTGACACAACAGGATGTCACCTGGGGTGCAAGGGGACACAATCAGAACACACTTGGGGTGCAAGGGGACACAACTGGGGACACAACAGGATGATAACAGGAGTGCAAGGGGATGCAACCGGGGACACAGTGGGTGACACAGCAAGATGACACCAGGGGTGCAAAGGACAAGAGTGAAACAAGTGGCACAACAGGTGACACAAGCAGGGGGGACACAACTGGATGTCACCAGGAGAAGGAGGGGACACGAGAGGGAACGCAAGGTGACATAAACATGGTATGAGAGGACACGAGGTGACACAACCAGATATAAGAGATGACACAAGAGGTGACACAATCTGGGATGAGTGGACACAAAAACTGACACAACCAGCAGTAAGAGGGGACACAACCTGTGACACAGCTGGGGGTACAAGGGGACACAACAGGACACCACCAAAGTGTGAGGTGGCACAACCAGCTGTGTGAGGTGACACAGCTGGGGGTACGAGGGGACACAGCAGGACACCACCAAAGCGTGAGGTTGACACAACAGGTGGCAACACAACCGGTGCCACCACAGGTGATGCTGTGCAGTGGTGCACAATCAGGGGGGCAGGCAGTGTTTGTGTGTGTCACAGTCACCTCCGTCTTGGGGAGGGGAAAACAGGCTGAGTGGGCACCACCACCACCACCACCACCCCATGGCGTGTGGGGACAGCAGTGGGGATGGTGACACCACTGTCAGAGCTCCTGGGTACAGGTGGATGTCAGTGCACTGCCCTGCTGGCGTGAGGGGAACGTGGTGACACAGGGACAGGGGAAGGACACCCCAAGTGCTCCATACCTCCCTAAGTACCCTCTAAGTCCCCTAAATACCCCTTCTGTGCCCCCCAATACTCTCCTGTTCCCCCTAAATACCCCCCTGCTTCTTTTACATAATACCGTGTCCCCTAAATACACCCCGTGCCCCTAAATACATGCCTTGTTCTCTCAAATACACCCTATGCCCCCTAAACACCTGTGCCCCTAAATACCCCCATGCCCCCTAAAGATGCTTCAATGCCTCCAAATACCCTCCTGTACACCTTAAATACTCAAATGTGCCCCCAAATAGCCCTCAGTGCCCCCTGAATACCACCTCGTGTCCCCCAAATATGCTCTGCTGCTCCCAGATATCCCTTCAGTGCACCCTAGATACCCCAAGTGCCCTCAAATATCCCCCCATGTTCCCTAAATATCCCTCCTGGGGCCTTAAAGACCCCTTGTTGCTCCCAAATACCCCTTCTGCGCTCCCTAAATACCCCCCAAATAACCCCTGTACCTCTCTAAATAACCCCATGTGCCCCTCAATACCTCCCAGTGCCCCCTAAACGCAGACGGTG